CTTACGAGTTCGTTCGAATACGTAACATTTATTCATTGTGTTACCTATTATTTACGACACGTGCGCAATGCGCAACGTGCACGCAACATTTTAGGTACATATACAACGTGTAATCTATCTTTTAACGAATTTGTAAACCACATATTCTGCACTTTATTTCTAGACGATTTGCAAAATATTAACAAAAAATATTCAGTGGTTTAGAAACGGGACATTTTTTTTTGTTTTCGTAATTTGCAACATCATGTGTAAAAGCAGTCATAATACATTGACGTCAGGCGGCGATCAGCTATATACGCGGCGCGGTAATCACACGTTGCCGCTTTTACTACACTCGAATCGAACGAATGTTGATTATTTTAATTAGTTGATGATGACGCACATCAAGTAGATATCTACAACTGTAGCCTGCCGAACTTCATAGAAGTCGCCCAGAGATATTACAGCAAGTGATTTTTATGTATAAATAACTGTTACTGTTTTTACTTACAGCATCGTTGTGGGATAAATCCTGTAAAGACACTGTAATTGTTTTTTAATAAATAAATAAATCATCAACTATTAAAAACGCATGTCATGAAGGACACGCGTTTTTAATTAGTTCATCCAGTAAGGACAGCCAGTCGGCCCTTGGCCAACGGCGCCAGATGCGCTCACGACAAATTACCGTAATAATAATATTATTGTTGTTCGTGAGATATTTACTTAGAAAAGTTTTGTTGTGTTAATAAAATAACATCGTATTTTTAATAAATAGATTTAAAAAATCAAGTGAAGTGATAAGTAGGTAGGTATAAAGTAGCGGCACGAAACTCTAGCGGTGACAGTTACTGCGCAGAAATCAAAAATCAGGTACTTTTTGGGGTAAGAGGGACGAAGGGCGGGCGTGTGTAGCGCCGATTGGCTCTCCAGTCGCATTACGTCCCCCGCACTGATACGACACGCCGCGTGCTTCCAGAGTACAGTCGCGTTCTGAGTTATATTGTTATCGCTGTTAATTTTTGTTGCAATAAATACAATACTCATTTAAAGACAATGCAGGTTGCAGCTGGGAACAGAAGACATAAAAAAAGCGTTTTAAAATTATTTAACGTTACAGTCGTATGTTGTGGTAGGGAAAGGACTGCGTTAATTGTTGTGGTATTTAATGCGACAAATCAAGCATCATTGTTTAGATAATAAACTGCTAAGTTGAAAACTTTCACAAAGTGAATTGCATATAATTATAGTTCAACAAATTCTGTTTTAATTTTTCTACTTCCTATAAACTTGTTAAAAATCCTGGGTAACATATTTTTTTTGGATATTGGAACTATAAACTATAATAATGACATACACATACACTCACGCATACATACGCACGCACACCACGCACACGCACAAACAAAGTACTTTTTTTTTTTAACATACACGTTTATTACTACTACTTAAGATTTAAATGTTAATACACATGGAGACCAATAATACTGGTTCAACCCAGTGCAGGCTCCCATCTCCTACAAGCACAATAACTGTCTGTATATATTCTTATAGCTTTTACCCGCGGCTTCGCTCGCAGTTTTATCTTTCGTAAAAAATATTATTTTAATAAAAAGTATCATATGTTACTTCTAAAACCTCCAAGAATATGTGTACAAAGTTTCATGATGATCGGTTAAGTAGTTTTCACGTGAAAGCGTAACAAACAAACTTACAATAATGTTATATAGTATGATTACTTACTTACCTTTTGTACCTATTGTTGAGAAAATAAAGAAATTCAAATTTGACGACTCTGGCACGTGAACAACTTTCAGAAGTTACACTCTATAACATTAACTATTTACTAAAGTTAATATTTGCGTGCGCGATAGTACCCATGCGCGGCTATCCCTTCCACGTTCCGCTCAGCGCTAGACTTACGTGCCGCTAGTGAATGTAAAGTTCGACGCCTCGTCGCGGCGGTGGCGTCGCTTTGATGTCGTTGACATTGCGACGCTGCCGTGTACAGTTCACCGACTCATGTTATCAATGGTGTTCTAATTCGGCAATTCTTTTATTGTATTTATTTTGTTCTAAATTTGCATTTCTGTATTTTCGTACTATTTTTTTTTTTTTAATTTTAACCGACGCATATTGAACCGTGTTACCTGTTATTTCATTTTTTGTGATACGCTTCATCACATAGTGTATATATAAGTATGCTAAAAACAATAAAAAACACGCAATACGCTCGAAGGTCGGTGTGGAATGTATTCGTTACACCGACCAAGTTTAAGTAGGGAATTCTTATTGATTTAAGCATTTTTTAATGCCGCACATAAAAAAGTAAAATTAATAGGTAAAAATGATTCATACACATTTTACTCGAATTAATATTCGTACCTAGATGACCGAGCATTGTTTATTTCTGTACCGTTTTAACAAGGCAACACAAGTTTCAACACGCATTTCTTAACATTTTCACACAGTCAAATCATGAGGCACTCATTTTTCAAATTTTTTATCTTATTGATTTGATGCAAATGAGTCAATATTGTAGATAAGGTAAGGTTAAAACATGCCGCTAATTCTTGGGTAGCTTGACTCGGATCAGCTTACACCATTTCCTTCAAGTCAGCGTTATTCACGTGTGTGGGTCTGTGGCGAGTCTTTCACGTGGATCGTTCTAAGTCGAAGTTTCCATTATGAAAGCGTTTAAACCAAAAACGCACGGTGCGTTCATTAGCAGTCTTCTTTACAAACAAAATGACTCCGATTTTCGAAGTATTCATCTTTCACATCTAAGTTGAACTAAAAAGCAATTGAAAGTCGAAAATCGAATGTTGCACATTCTTTAAAAGGTGAACCTCATAACCCTAACATAGACGAAGGGGTAGATTTATTATTTGTATTTTATTTTTGCAGTGAGAAAAAGACGTCACAAAACATTATTTTAACGAATTTATTTCAACATATAGATACAATGACATACAACAATTAATTTAATTTATTATTCTATTGTAATATAGTTGTTATCGTTGCTTGTACATGGTTTTGATCGGGACAAAGTTGTGAACATATTTGTGCCTTATTTAACATTTCATAGTGTATCATATAGGAACTTGCTGCTGTATTCCATTTAATTTAATTATGATAACTTTTTCAATGCTTGTTTCAGATGGTAAGCGGCGGACGTGTGGTGGTTACTCTCATAAAGAGACTAACTTCTAGTGATTATGTAGCCAATACGCTACCACCCAAATTATGATAAGAATATCAAAATTTAAACAATAAAATATATTTGAATAATACCCTTACACTGTTAACTAGTATTTCTTTAAACCATTAATACTAAAATCTGCGACAAGCAATGGAGTAAGTCTTGAATAGACTTCAATAGTTATATTTTGTATCAAACATTGTGACGAAAATCTATAATAACTATTTCCACAACATATACTTGATTCGATAATACACGCAATCATAATTGTAATAATCATAACTATTTATAACTAACATTTATTGTTATATATCCAGCCAGAATATCTGAACAGAAAAATCCAAAAATTTGTCAAAGCAGATATAAAGACGTTATAAGGGTTTTAAGTTAGCCGCGCGAACGTAACGTGGAAGATTGCGCGGTCACGGAGATTTCGGCAACTACTTAAGTTGGAGATCTAATTCTTTTTGTCAATTGAAGACTGAAAAAAGAATTATAAGCTATAGATCCATACTTTACCAAATATTATTATTACACTGTCTTATTGATTATTTCTTTAAGACTTATGCAGTAACTGTTACAAGAAGAAAAGTCTAATTTGTCAAAACTAATGAAAGCAATAAATACTAACAAAGCTTAGTTAAACAGACAAAACCAAAAATTACGTGGCCGCGCAGTCGAAACGTTACTTTGTAGCCTGATATGTCATTATCTATAAGTGCTAGGATTTTGGCGTGAACATACATTTATTCGACATAATGAACCTTATTAGAATGACAAATCGTTTTCACCTCAGAACAGTTTACAATGCGTGCAATATCTCTAACACTTAAATAAGAAATAGATCTCTAACACTTAAGTTAAGTTAGGTTAAGTTAAGTCAACACTTAAGTAGTTGCTAAGATCTCCGTGGCGCAATCCTATACGTTACGTTTGCGCGGCCACCTTACAACCCTTTTAACTTCGTTATTAATACTTTGACAAATTTTTGGAGGTTTTTTTTTTTCAGTTTGGATAACGTGGCTGAGCACTCGAAACGCACACATTTATTTTATTCATGGTAAACAGACTTAGCTATCTATTCATATAAATTGTCTTTATAACAAGCTTCATGACACAAAAATATGTATAACACATAAAAGTTTTAAGAAACACAGAATACATTTATAACAAATGTTATATAATAATATTTTATTCAATCAAAGACAGACCTCATGCAATTAGTTGCCAAAATGTTATAGCTACCTTTAGGTAGTAATAACATTTATATGTGGCAGAGATAAATACTTTGTTCATAAAACGATTAACATTAATCTTATTCTTAGTGCGATTTTTTTTGTCTTCACAATGAAGCATAATGTATAATACAACCACCTCCGAGGTAAATTTATATATAGTTTTATTCGTCTATTATCTTTTCTTACCATTAATAAAATCTTCATTAGTTCTTAGAACCTTTTCTTGCTCCATTATAGAATCCATAGATCTCGTTTTTATATCAAGATCAATGAAAAATGTTTAAAAATTAAATATAACATCAATTAACCATATACATATATCTTATTTATCTTACTCGATTACCGGACCATCCAATCCCACTTAAAATTTCACTGCACTCAAATGTCTTTGGCTGAAGTACTTTATATTTTCATTTTTTTTATATTTAGTTATTTCGTTCACGAAGTTGAGAAAAAAAGTCAACAATTATTTTAATGACTATAGTTATTCTGTCTGCCATTCGCCCGAAAATGCATGTGGAAACTTCAGTGGACTCAGAGTCATTACTCATAGTGTCTTGCTGAAGCGCAGATGCCTGCAGTCAGCCGGCCGAACCCAGCTTTAATGCTTCTCGAAGCTCCTCAGCCCTCTGTTCAGCGCGGCTACGGTACATCTGCCTGATTGCCTCGTCTTCTGGATATTCGCTATGTTTTTCGGCGTTTGGCACATAGCAGTAACCATCAAAATGGCTAAATTCTTTGGCGATTACATCCTCTAAGTGGTATAAGCGAGTTGGACGGTCTACGTGTATGAGGTTTTCTGTAATAAAGAAAATTGAATTATTTATTGTTTTTACATTTTGCATGTTTGCAAGTCCAGATGAATTGAACAATCTTGAACGGAAATCACCGACATTTTATTTGCAATCTGCACTGTGCAATTGGGTGGACTGAATAACATCTAACATAATAAACAATTTTTAAAACGTCTAACTTGCTAATTGATACTATTGCCAACACCTGCTACAAAAAATGGATCGCTAAATTGCCTAAACTTGAGGCTGAACGATCAATACGTCTAAGTAGCAAAACGTCTAACTATTAACTTTTATGTAGCAAAACGGATTATCTAATTTTTTGGTTCTTATGGAGAGAATAAACGTAAAAGTTGCGAGGAAAATAGTAAAAACAACACTTCGTTTCACAAAGTTAATAGATTCATAAAGTTCGAAGAAAAGGATCACTGAAATACGTTTCATTTATTTTTCTATTGGACTGCGACAGGCCGCTAGTTTTATATTAAATTTCGTTCATTGTTTATTTGTTTTGTATTGAATTTATTTATGAGTACTTAAAAGACCTTGCACCTACCGACTATTACTTTTTCCAAAATTTAGACAACTTTTTAGTGGGTAAAAAAATCAATTCCCGAGAGGCAGTACAAAATGCCTTTGAAGAGTTTGTTGCCTCCCGTCCAGCTGATTTTTTAAAGAAGGGCATTAATAAACTGCCAATGCGTTGGCAAAGATGCGTCGATTGCATGGGTGATTACTTCGAATAACAGAAATAAAAAAGTTTGAAATAATAAGTACTTTCACTTATTGCATACAAAACGGCAATTTCATAGGTAAAGACCTATAACACATACCTTGTGCGACATAACGTTCCGATTGGTCGACAGCAATCACGCTATAAAATGGTTGACGGATGCCAAACTCCAAGTCCTTGGCTTCGACATGTCGTCGCCAATCTGTTGTACAATTTAAATCCCAACCACGAACGACGCAGAGGTAATCGTATTTCTTATGATAAGCCAGCATACCCACAGCAAATGTTACGCTGGAGTGGTAGTGTTTAACTTCTATCTATAACAATAAAGCGTAATTATGTTAGACAAAATGATTTAGATTTGTTTTTATGTTCTACAAGCACTGATGCTGCTGATTACTGCACTTTACTTCACTGCCGAGGAATGGCTTTTACCATTTACACTACTTTTATTCGTTTCGTTTCATTCGTTTAAAGGTAATGGGCAAGGATATTCGGCACGTCACTAATGCCCAGGGAGTGTTTTAGATGTTTATCCTCATATTTTGACACTACAAATTGAGTACACACTTAAAATTGTATAATGACCTGCTAGTATCAGCTGGTTTTTGTTCAATAGAGTAAACAAAAATGTATCAATTATTGTTGCAACTTGTATTAGCTAAGTATACTTACTCTGGACATCGTAGATATCTTTATAAGAAACAAAAAAAACTTAAATAATAATAAAAATGTGACTCACTTCTCTGTCAAAATGTGTGGGAGGTTTATTTATATTTGACAATGTATCCAGGATATTCAATAATTCATCGTGGATCTGCAAATAAAATTCATTTTTTTTAATAGGATTCCAAAGACCATTTAATAACTTCGGTTTCCAATTATTCAATACCGGTTATACGCATAACAATAACTGACGGACAAATTATAAAACTGTTACAACTTTAAGCAGCAGTACTGAAGTGTCGAGTAAACAAAAAGTATCTTGATACTTACATATTCAAGTTCAAGGGGCTTACTCAAGTCTGGTTCCGACTCAAAATCCATCATGGCATGTAGAGAGGGCAGAAAGTCACGGTACGGGTTATCATCGTTAATATTATTGCTTAAAAAGTCTAGCAGGAATATAGCATTTTGAGTATACCTAGAATGACATTGTTTATTAAAAATGATACTTAAAAAAAGTGACTACGTTCTCGGTTCTAAAGCAAGCTCGAGTCCAGTCTATATATATATATATTTACAGTATGCAGCAGGTACACAGGGTATTGGTATGGTATTGGCGTAATGAGAAAATACCTTTTATGACAGTTGCGAGATCGAGAATTGATCGGAACTAATTGTAATCGAACTTTTATTACGAGAATTGGCCTTCTGAAATCTTTAAATAGATATCAATTTAAGAATTTCAAAGTTGTAGTACTCATTCGACTTTGACTATGAGTAAAAACTTTATAAATTAAAAAACTTGCCAGTTTTTTATAGCTCCCATGGTCATCAAAAAGGCAGTAACAATGTACTGAAGAAATTCGTCAGGACTATATTTGTATTCCTGTCTGTAGGTGCTGGGGGCAAACGGACACCGTCCCTGCGGGATCAGCTCACCAGACTCGAGATCAATTTTGTAAGTTAGCGTTCGTTGCATTGGGCTGCGCCACTCCAAAAACAAGTGATTGGGGAACGCAATCAGTTCGACATGAACACCGCAGCCGCGAGCTACAGCTTGAAATATGACTGCCGCTACGATTAAATTGCCACATCGGTTATAAAACACCTGTAAGAATATAAAAACTCTCAAATGTCTACACAAACAACAAAATCATATTAAGGTGTATGAGACCGTCCATAAATTACTTTACAAGAATTCCATGATATATTTTTTTAATTTATGTGTGAAATACAAATTGGGCAATGTGCGGAAATCGAATTTTCAGCACTCAGCGCGATATAGTAGCGAGCCTACCATTCCAATAATGTTATAGTATCTATTACTATGAAATCATGATATATTGGTACTGTACTGTACCTTGACAATGTCAAGCCCATGCAGGCTTGACCCAGCCATAACTGTCAAGTGGTGTTGCCTATATAACACATCACGGACGCCTTCCAGTACTAGTTTCTCACTTAACAATCCTTGAGCAAGTTTGTCTCGTATATTATAGCAACCTTTTGATGCAGTATAAGCATCGTTCGGAAACAGTCGTTCCACCTTTTCAACCAGTATATCAATCTGAAAATAAACCAAAAAAAAACCTACGTTAATATAGCTTTGTATTTATAAAACGAATATCTGGTTATGAAACGATACGGAAATGGAGAAAGAAACAATAGAGGTCAGACACTTGTTAACTTCGCGCTAGAACATGAGCTAACAATTATAAACACCTGTTTCAAGAAAAAACAAAACCGCAGATGGACTTGGCGGTCACCAAACGGCCAGTACAAAAACGAGATGGATTACATCCTCTCAAATCACCCAAATCTATTCGAAAATATAGAAGTTTTGAATCTAAACTACACATCAGACCACCGTCCTGTCAGGTGTATTTAAGCTTACCACGCAGAAGAAAAATAGGTCCAAGTTCACAAATAATAAAATAACTCAACTCAAAAACAAAGATGAAATAACAAAATACACAGATATCTATCAAGCTTTCTTTTGGAGCCATCAAATCAACCAGTTGACCAAGATAACAATCCGGTGCAAATCTCCTACGAAAAAATAAAAAAGGCCATCCAACAAAGCTTGAGCCTTGCTAAAACAAATATAGAAAACAATAAAAAACATAAAATAATACAAGAACGCACACTAAAACTATTAAAAAGAAGACAAGACACGCTCATTGAAAAATGAACTCTCCGCACTGTTTAAACTGGTCAATAAATATATCAAGAGAGACTACGCAAAATATAGACAAGAAACAATAGAGAAAAACCTCCAGCTTGACGGTAGCTCAAAAAGAGCATACAAAGAACTCAGAACAAACCGTTCTTGGATAGAAGAACTGAAAACCCTTAATAGAGACCTATATAACCGAACGGATATTGTCAGAACAGCAACTAAATTCTACAAGAAACTCTATAGAGACAAAAGACGACTAACCACCAATAAACTTGAAATAGAAACAGTAGACTGTCACCATATACACCCAATCCACGAAACCGAAGTAATAAACTCAATAAAGAAACTGAAATTCGAAAAAAGCCCGGGTTCTGACATTCTCACAAATGAATCACTAAAATATACCCATCAAATTTTGGCAGTACCATTAACTGAGCTGTTTAATTCTATACTTTTAAGTTCTGTAACGCCCATAGAATGGTCAGAAGCAGATATCATACTTATATATAAAAAGGGTGATCTAAAAAATATAAGCAACTACTATAGACCAATTAGTTTGTTACCAAATATATACAAACTTTTTTCATCGATTATAAATAGTAGAATAAGCCCGATAATAGAAGCAAAACAACCTGTAGAACAAGCAGGCTTCAGGCAAGGGTACTATCTACTACTATCGACCACATCCACACCACCGAGTTAATTATAGAGAAATATCAGCTTCAAAGACCTTTTTACATCACTTTTATTGATTATCAAAAAGCCTTCGATTCGGTCACACATACAAGTATATGGGAACGTTTAAAAGAACAAGAGGTGCCAAATAAATACATAAATGTGATTAAAAGCATATACAATAACAACAAAGGAAGAATCAAGCTTGAAACCTCAGGCCTCGCCTTCCATATAGAAAGAGGCGTAAGACAAGGGGACCCGCTCTCACCCACTATTTTCATAGCGTTTCTCGAAAACATCAATCAAAGGTTGAATTGGAGTAAAACAGGACTCTACACAAAAGGCGCCTACCTAAGTCATCTGAGGTTCGCTGATGACCTGATACTTCTATCAGAGACAGCCAACGAGATGGAAAACATGATAGAATCTCTACAACAAGCGAGTGCGAAAGTTGAATTGGAAATGAATCTAACGAAGACTAAGACAATGACTAATACACGAATAAGACCTATAACTATTAACGGTAACCCCTTAGAATATGTGGAAAATTATATCTACCTGGGAAAAAGAATAAGTTTCGAGAAAAACAGAAACACCATAGACATAGAGAGAAGGGTTCAACAAACCTGGAATAAATACTGGAGCTTAAAATTAATATTTAAAAATACATAACTTTTTTAATTATATATAAAAATAACCTACTATTATAATTATATTTAAAAATAACCTACCAATAACTCTCAAAGCTAAAGTTATGAACTCATGTCTACTACCAAGCTTAACTTATGGAAGCCAGACCTGGAAACTCTCTACACAAGTTATCAACAAAATTAATACATGTCAAAGAGGTCTAGAGCGAAGTATGCTAAACATAAAGAGAATAGAAAATTTGTCTCCAGTTCTGTTGCTTCAAGGTAGCATCTTAATAACATCATCGTTCATTTCGTCCGTCCATTTCATTCTACTGTTGTTGAAAACATTTGCTCTAGTGATCGTCGTGACTATGTATCTGTGAATGGTTAAGGGTTTTATCTCCTATTTGCTCTTTTACTTCAAAAACTATCTCGACTAACACAGGTTGTGACAGTAATTTTCTTCTAATTATGGCCCTTTTTTGGTCTCCTAATCGTTGTCGAGTGGCATGCATATCGGGATATCTATTGTCAAATTCTCGATGCAAAGCTTCTAAATAGTTGTTCATTTGTGACGTCTTGCAGTTTGTTATTATAAGGTATGTACGCCATATAAAACGGTTCATATCTTCAGTCCATTTCTTTCGCGTACGCGAAGGGCCAGCAGTGGGTACAGGGTTAGTGGCTAATGCCTCCTGCACAGCAGCCGTTGACCTTGTAGTTCGGGATGAATATGTACGAGTAGATGATAGCGATGAGTTGGGTGATCGAAATAAGCTATGGGTTGAAGACGGTGATGGTATATTAGAAAAGAGTGAATGTTTTGACTGTGTGGTACTAAGTGAGGGTGAAGATAATCGCTCGGTTGATCGGCGTTGCACAGCATACGCGTTATTGGTGCTAGTGCTTGATAATTTTGCTGTTCTTCTTGTCATGTATGGAAGGCGAGTTTGAGGGATGGAAGAAGATAATGTTTTTGTATCATCGCCTGAAGAATCGGCTGTGACCTCAACGTCATGAGTCCGCCAGTTCAACTCATTACGACCGGCTGTAGCTTCTACGCGATGAGCCCGCCTGATCAGCTCACCTCGACCGGCTGTAGTAGATTGTTTGGTGAGAGCCCGCCTGCTCAACGTCCCACCACCGATGGTTCGCATGCTGTGGCACCCAGCATCGGCTCCAGCCCCGGCGCTCCCCGGGAAGCGACCGTAAATTATATTTCTTCTTCTCAGTTTCCATAAGGTGCTCCATTGAATGGGTTTGGGATCGTTAGTTGGATAGGTATTAGTATCAGGTCTCCGGCCACGAAATCACCGCTCGATCAGTACAAGTACGCTAAACAAACGGCAACTCCAGAAGCAAAGGCCCAACACAATGATGAGTTGTTAAGATCATAACCAGTACCCGATACCCGTAAGCCCCCCACCACGGCAAGGTGATCCCCGGGGGGGTTATTATTATTATTATTATAATTATACAGAATTGTCGTAATCAAAATTCGTAACTATTAAAATACCTTTTTGACCGTGTGCGTTACGATTGCTCCGTCACATTATCCAAATGCAAAAAAAAAACAAAAAAAGAACGTTGAATACGTTGGATGTTTTAAATTTTAGTACCTTTTACAAAATTTGACGAGAACTGAATTTTGAACGAATTTTTATTACGAGAATTGACCTTCTGATATGAAATAGACATTATGATGTTTGCGTTCGATATGTTTATGTTCGCATGTTTATGAAATAGCTGGGAAATAAACACCACACAATACTAGTTAATATTATAAATACTCACACATGCTTTAACCTTCTCATCTGGGTGCATAGAGATAGGATCGGTCCACTGAACAAAAAAGTTTAAAACAACTTCTGAAGTCAACTCCTGTTTCGCATGACATTGCGTCCATTTCAAAGTAAGGAAAGTTTGTGTCAGATAGCGAACAACAATTTTCGCATAATAAACATCTGTCAAGGTGAACGGCCTAAAAGAGGTAAAAATTTGATATAACATTACAAATATAATTATGCTAGGAGTGAAAATCTTTATTCGTACACTTAACATCGAATAACGCATAGGGGAGGTAATGAAAAGTCATGCCATGCCACTTGTGTTAGAAATAAATGAAGATTACTTAAGAATAAAAATAAGCGTGGTTTGAACTTTGACTATATGTATATAATAATTGAAACAAAAACTTTCTATCTAAGCTAGTATCCAGTCTAAATTTGCTATCCGACCGGTTTTGTACTCTAATGAAGTCATATAACAAATAAAATGGCCATTTAACTTTTTCATTTACAAACAGAAGTATGAGTACAGTATAAACTGCAGTAGATCGTTTTTTTTCACGAAAAGAAAACAGACGGTTTCGTTTGTCTTCTATAGACAAGGCCAACCTCAGAAAACTACATCTTTCCTATACTTTTATAGAGAGCTAGTTTTTAGTACATATGGGCCAGTTCGACTGGAGTGATGCTACGGCTTCTCAGAACACCGGTGTTAAGCAATATTTTCATAGCATTTCACCGAGTGAGTGAGGGTACCGGCGATTTAAAACTAAGTCTGAGAGGAACACTCAAAGGTAGGTTCCGCAGCACTTGTGAATCTTGAGTTTCATGGGTGGCGATAGTCACTGTCAGGGGACCCGTTTGTTCATTTGCCCTTAATATCATAAAAACGACTGCAACTATAGGCTTCGTAGTAAAATACTCTTCATAGTTTCAACATACCCACCAGACCAGTTTTTAGCTAAGGCCCACGTGCAGAGTTATGGTAAATCAGGAGTTCAAGTGTGCCGAAAATCACACGGTCTGCCACACTTAACACTATATTTTGGTCGCGTGCCAAACTTATATTGGTTTTAAATACAAATACACAGAATCGGGTGAGGGTCAATTTATATGTATGTGTATATAAATATATGTACGTAATAATAAAATGATTAATGTGCTAAACAATTGCTAATAGAGCTTTCTTAATTGTTCAGAGTTAACATAAAAACAACCATAATACGATCAGATATACATTAGGTATTAAATTCTCGTTCCAAGGCCGTTTATTTACTATCTTCCTAGCTCGTCCAAATATAATGACTATAAGTTATATATAAAAGTTACAGGCTCTGTTTTCGTTCGGTTTTATTCGCATTCCTCTTTTTAGTTCCTTCGTGTTTTTATTGTAGTCAGAATTAAATATTTGATCTAAATAGGCCTTAAGCAGCATTTACAAAGCACATCGTAAAAATAGATGCCAGTATAACAGCAGTGCACAGTAAACATACAGCCACTAATGCATTTTTCCTCTTTATTTTATCAATGCTTTCAAACGATACAAATGAGAATGATGCAAATAAAATATAAAATCAAATGTAAAATTAAAACTATCTGAAAGCTATCGAATAGATTTAAAATATTGATCTCATGGTCATTGTTGAGACACACAGAAAGAAATGAAGTACAATACCTCTCGTTGGTGGTTGACTGTTGAATGAATCGGTGTTCATCTAAGGTTCTGAAACTAGTATAAATACGAATTTCTTGCAAATGTTGTAAGCAAGACTGATCTACCTAAATTATATTATAATTATGACACTGTGATTGTTCTTTGTGTTTAATGTATGTTTTCCCCACGACAAAGGATTTATTCCTAGTGCGGCAGTTGTCTTTAGAAAGAGAAAAAGCCACTAGAGATATGTCCCACCGAAATCGACTCGACTGCTGCTGCTGACAGCACAGATTATTCGGCGTGCCCACATACTTAAAAACTTGTGTGCGTTGCCCCAGCGGAAAAAGTTCGAATTTCAGAGTTCAACAGATATTTAGGGTATGACGTCGTGTAATTGTGTGTGGTAAGTAAAAACGGACGTAGAAGAAAAAAATGGTATCAAAAATTAGTGTATGACGTGAGGAAATTGATTATGTCTAAATGAAATTTGTGTGTCAATAAACTGCGAAGATATTCAAGTTTCCGCTGTGACAACGTAGAGAGAGCTGCAAAATTTTTTCATACGTTGTTTTGAATTTGTTTTTAATGTTTGTAAAAACGGATTAATAAAAACATAACATTCAGAAGATATAAATATACCACTGTTTCATATGCAGCAGTAATTGAACGAGATTTTAAAGGAAATGCGTTATAAAACCTATTTCAATAATTAGTGCATTAATTCAACTATTCACATGTAAAATTTCATTTCTTTACAATCAATAAATAACGAAATACAATTAAAATACTGACAATCACCGCAATTAGTACATAACCCGACTGAGTTTGGATGGCTACGAAAAAGCGGCCGTGCAGTATATTTAAGTAACATTCTAAAATTTACAGTATAATACCGGTATTGAATTGATACAGGTGGATACACAATTCTTGAATAAGATTTTGAGATTAAGACATTAGGTCGCTTGTTTTTTTTTGCAACTACTGTTGTGTATGTACAATTACCCCACGTCATACACTAATTTTTGATGTCCGTTTGGATTGAGGAACCACTCTTCAAATCGTAATGAAATTAATATATTATTTAGTAGTCATTTAAAAATAATTGTAGCCGCGATCCTCGATTTTGTAGTATAATACTTTTCAAGTTATATGAACATAAAGGTGGCTCCTCAATCTGAATGTTTGGATTGAGGAGCCACGTTAGAACTAGGAACATAGCGGATGTATATTTAATTTTATGATAATTTAGTATGATTTTGTAGTATTTGACATTAGTTAGTAGACAAAATCTGAGCTCGGTAATGTTAAAATTAAAAAAGTTACCATACATTATATATGTGGCTCCTCAGACTATACATACGATTGTCATTTTTTAAAAGAAGCAGTTTTTCAATTGTTGCTCAATTTATTCATCATTTAGTAGTAAGTATGTTAAATTTGTAGTGTAAAGCTCAGTAATTAAAAATGAGTGAATTAGGAGATATGGCACATTTTAACTGGCTCCTCAGTTAAGATGCTTCGGTAAATAGATTTGACTTAAATATACTTATAGGAGGATCTACTTGTGAGGAAATTTGGAACATACTACATCAATATTCAGTATAAATTTATACTAAATGTTCGTATAATCCTGTCATAAAAAAGTACAGTGTCTACGAAGTTATTAGCTATTCTTTAATTTCCTAACAAATTTTTTTGTAGGGTGTCCATGAATAACTTATATAAAAGGTATTTTTTGTTTCGTAAAAACAAATCTATTTAATTTTATCCAATTATTGTATGGGGTCATTCTATCTACTCTCAATCATATTTTTTTTTAGAAAATTGATATTCATTAACGGTGAAATTGACTTGTTTGCACATATTAGCTTACTGACGTTTCGGAAACAAATATTTTTTAGGTACTTGTCCGAATCAACACTTTTAATTTTAATATTTTTTTCACTAACAATTCGACAACACCCAAAACTGCTATTTTGTACAGTCAGATAATAAACATGGTTTTCTATCTTTACATAGTATAAAATGAAGTCACTTTTTTTCTTGTACGTTTAGATCAAACTACGCAAAAGATTTTAATGCGGTTTTCACCTATAGAGAGAGTGATTCAAGAGGCGGGTTTATATGCATACAACAGAAGAGGAAATCCGAGAATTCGTGAAAAACATGTTTTTGTGCGCTTACATTGCAAACGCTGGCTAAACCTTAAGAGATAGATCAAAATAGAGATAGATCTAGACAGATCGCATTTTTACCTTTAAACCTGAATATAATTTCTGTTTTCGGGATTCAAAGTTTAGAAGATGCAATTTGTATTGCAGAAGAAAAAAATGTTTGTACATTTTATGACCTCCAAACAGTGTGAAAATATACGCTATCAAATACAATTTCATTTGAAATAAATCTTTGTACGAAGTTTCGAGTAAGCGAGATACCAGAATCTATAATGATTTATATATTTATATATATTCTGTATCACCTATTAATATGTATGATCTCAGGTAGATCATACATATTAATAGGTGATACAGAATAGTTACAGAATATATCCCTGCAATTAGCGACGCTGGCATGGGACACTATAAGTGTCACTACCCAACGAAGGATGAGATGTTTTGCTATGACGACTATGATTTTGACTGTAAAATTCGTCAAAGCACGGAACAACCAATATTAATTCATCGTATCACTTATGTCCAACCTGATTAATTGTATTTCGATATTGTCGATTTGTTAAAAATTAAATTTTAAAAACTTGTCCTCCTGATTTTATTTAACATGGTCACCCTAAATGGCGAATTTATAAGGAATATCAAAAAGTAATTTATTTTTCAGGTACCGAATATATACAACGTTGATCTGTACATATTTATTTAGTAGACATTTACACTAAATGTTAGTGTCTTTAGTTTTTATTTCTGTTGTGATATCAGGTAGGTACAATCCATTATTAATTATGCAGAACGTCAGGATTGAGGAGCCAAATAAAATGCGTTTATTTACAAAATTCACTCAGTTTTACTACTTTCTCCTGTTACTACAAATTCAAACCCACTTGCTACTAAATGTTTTTGGAATAGAATATAAATTTTGACTTTTTACTTTCATGGCAATTCACACTCATAAATATAGATTGAGGAGCCACATTAAAAGTGTTGTATATTCTTGAATATCAATAGTACTGGATTCAGATTTTTAGTAGGCGCTATACACAATTACTACTAAATGATACAAAGTTTTCAAAAATATTCATTAAATACTTTCCGTGTTCCAGATGGCTCCTCAATTGAAATGTTTAAATTGAGGAGCCACTTTTACATTGACGTAACTTTGGATATATCTTACTACAAATTTCAGGATTTGTCCCACAAAATTATTTTCTCACCTACTAAATGAGGGGGCAGTTTCCGTTTAAAATTCGTTTAAATTCTAAAATGGCTCCGGAATCCATACGTACACAATTTTTGATACCATTCTTTTTCTTCTACGTCCAAATGTGACATGTTTTTTGGGACCTCTCATATTTTTTTATTATTTTTATGTTTAATTTACTACATAAGTACGGACGTTTTGTATCCATCTACCACACCATCCCTATTTAGCGAAAATAGGATGGTCATGTAGTAAGGGCAAATAATGTTAAAATAAAAAGAAAATCTTAGCAAATCAGCCATTAACTCAAATTATAATTGATTAATTAGAAATCACTCCAAAGATATAGTCCCATGCAAACTTAATGACGGCTCTGAAGTAAGCTGTGCACACAGGTCTGCGCAGGTACCTTCAGTCAAGTCGACTCGACTGTACGTATACAGGAATATGCGCGCATGCTGTGTACGGATGTAAGTCACACACTAAAAGGGTAGCGTGTCGTGTGTCGCCCTGCCCCCGCGCTCCTTTTCGTCCCGCTGCTGTCTGTGTGTTCTGTGCATCGAAACGCACGATGTTCCGAGCCGCCATTAAGTTTGCATCGGACCGTACAAAAAATGTATATCTTTAAACATCTTCAAGTTGGCACAGTCATCTACAGAAGATAGAAAGTTGTTGAATATCACGGTAGGTAGGTAGGTTTATATCAGGAAAACTTACAAAGATACCACTGTTCAGGTTAGACTCAGTTAGACATTACAGAGACTCATGACTTTATGATGAAGAGCTCTCAGTTCAGTTGTCACAACAACATTGATCGTGTCATTTACAAATTAAACCACCCCTCAATTCATTATATTTAAAAATGATGTAAATACATTAAAAACTTACTTTTCATAGATATTTTGCTCAGCACACTTATTTCCTCTGTGTGCGATATCTTGCAGAACATAAACAACATAATGATAATTCACATTGTGACTTACAGCCAAAAAAAAGAAATTTCTAATGTCCTCCAATGTTACTTCACTCGTCCTCCTGTAAAATGTTTCAGGATTTTTTTATCATTATCATATAAAAAAATTGACATACATAGAACAAAAATACATGCATACATATCTTGTGGAAACCATGCTGAATTTTTATGAAACAGATTGCATCTAGTCAATTTTTCATAAGTGAAGTTGACTTCAAATTAAAGCGTTCACAATAGTATTTGCAAATTAACTCCATATAATTGCTTCTTGTGAACCTAATAGATATCAAAGCTATGATTGATATTATTTTACTAGGCTTATGCCAAACCTGGCCCGAAATCTTGTCCCAGTCGCGGGTTAGGTTAGGAGCTTAAAAAAATTTGACGACATCGTTCATATCAGTAATATAGATAGGTTTCCCCAGGTTTGGGAGCAGAATGTCCACGTCGCAAAATGTCCAGTGATCGCAATATGTTTAGTTTGCACAATATCCAGTTTGTAGAATGTCCATTTCGCAAAATGTCTAGTTTGCAGAATGTCCAATATTCATTTGGCAAGTGCCAAATCTGAACTGCCAGAAACGAGAAACGAAATGCTTATATTGGTTCTGTGATCTAGACATTCTGCTAACTGGATATTCGCCAAACTGGACATTCTGCGAATGGGATATTCTGCGCCTAAACCATATGGCAATTCAGGCCTTCAACCATATGATAGGAACGATACGTGGGGTCAGGTTAGGAAGAATGTTACGTATGAAATAATTTTAATTTCCAAGTTCCTAACCTAACCTACGACCGGGTAAGGATTTCGGGTCAGGCTCGGCATTATCTTTATAATATGTAGACTACGTAATACATCTTATTTAATAACACATATTTTTTTTTAAATTTCAATCTTACCAATAAAATTTAGGTGACATGGACATCAGCTCCTTATAAACTGCTTGTTTAACAACATAAAATCTTTTCATTTCATCAAACCAATTACCATCCCCATACTTTTCTACCACCTCAGATATCTTACTTGGTAATCTGGAATATAAGATATCAATAAATAAGAGGTAGCTACTCAAAACTGAATTTAGTGCAGACGAAGATTCGGATGACCAAATTCATGTTGACCCACAAATTTATTACACCGAATGTTTTGCTTTTGTTTGCAATGATGATTAAAAATATATAGGTAGTAGAAAAAAGTAAAAGTCAGCCATGAAAACCATGAAGCACCTCCTCAGTGGCTTTTGGTATGGGTGGCGGAAAAAAAAATGGCAGAGTATATATAGTATAAATATAATATTTATGTTATACCTTCAATGTCGTAATACAGATGTCTCTACAATGACCAAATTTTTTTTTATACCTATAATATATCACTATATATTATAAATGAAAGTCCACCACCACATCTGTCTGTCTGCCCATATTAAGCTCAAAGTACAGAATGGATTTAAATACAGTTTTCATCAATAGACAGTGATTCATGAAAAAGGTTTGGATGTATATTTTTTTTATTTTATTGCTGAAAATGTTAGAAAAATGCAACAAGCACACATTTGACGCAACAAGCTGATGTGATGAAAATGTATACTAAATTTTTCAATAAACTACATAGTTATGAATATAATAATTAATATAATTGTGACTGAACTATTTAATTACTTAATCTTGTGTTATTTTAGAGATGATATTGTTGTGCATGCTGTATTCACCTGTTATTAGTTATGCAATTAGTTTTAAGCCCATAATTGTATGTCTCTTGTAATGAATTATTGTATCTAACTGTTGGTGAATCAAATAAATAAATAAGATCCCAAGACAGAAAAAAAATCTAAACATATGCTCTACTATCCATGTGAAACTGAGGCAGGTTGCTTATTGGTTAATGTACATACATACATGATTTGTTTATGCAAATGTATGTCAATATTCAAGACTGTTAATTTTTATGTAATCTCCTCACAAATAACAAAACCAAACACATTCTTTGCACTCCTTTCCATCGAAGGATACCTCAGAAACATTTCTTCTGGCGATAATGCGCCTTTTGTGCATTTCCTTTTTTTTATGCATGTTTCATTGGTGTACGAAAAAGAGTTTTTATTATTTTAATTTTACTAGCTGCTGCCTGGTTTTTGATCAGCACAGAGTTGGTACTTTCAAGTATCCTATTTCTAATCAATGATTTTTAGTTTCTTAGCAAAGTACAGATAGGATCACATCACACACATCATCAGCCCTTAATAGTCCACTGCTGGACATAGGCCTCTCCAGATAGGATAATTTTGTATAATTCATTGACCTGAGAAATTAATTTTTGGTTTGACATAAAACTATTGTTCCACATCTCACCCCTTCAAGTTTTAATTTCATGACAAAAAGTACTTCTACCATGTCTTACAAAGTCTTAAGAGCCTATTGATCTCTCTATCAAAATTCATCAAATTGATTCAGTGGTTTGGGTGTGTAAATGTAAATGATAGACAGATTTTCATTTGGATTTATAATTTTGATTTATCTAAATTTAAGCAGATCATAGAATATAGTAAGTTCTTGAATATGCAACTGAAAAATGATTTTAAAATCACTTTGCGAATGTATTCTTATTTCTACAACCTTTGTTGTAGTGAAGATATCTAAATCCCAAAACATATCTATTTGCACTCAACATTGATACAAGAATGACAATTAATAATTTGTTTGCCTTCATTCTATCTATAATTCAACTGTTGCTTATTTACAGAACCAAAATTCACAGAAATAACACATAAAAATGTACTTACATCTCCCTGAATTTCTCCTTCCATATATATTGATTTGTATTTACTAATTCATGGTAACGTTTGCACGTAGAACCAAAACTAATAATGTCGCGACATGGCAAATTTTGCAAAATCATTGAAATAATTTCATTCGGTAGTAATTTAAATGAAGCAACTTCTGTTTCTTCTTCCATGGTAAAGTATTAAATGTCACATAAATGATAAATGAAGCACTGATGAAGATAAATTAGACCTTTTAAGGATTTAATATGTTTCTTGGAAGTCTGGCATCACCTCAATGTCTAGAAAATAAATATTATTTTAAAATTAATAACTTGTATGTTAATCGCTGAATTAATCCATCCATAATATAAATAAAATTCTAATATCTTCGCCCAGCCATTTCATTAGTGTGACCACATTCTGTGTGAAGCAGTTTCTACTACTAAAATTTACATTTTCTACTGTATATCTACAAGAAATCCACGGGAGACCGGAATTCAATTTCAATTGCAGATTTTTTTTTAAATATTCTATATCTAGGTTTCATTTCGTCATTGGATAGTGTGTCCTCTTACGTTCCTTTTTTAAATGAAATGTTTTAATTAGTAAATTGACATTGATTTCATGCAAGCAGTGGCGTAGCTAGGTGTGGGCGAAGTGGGTAAACCGTTATTTTAAAAGCGTGTTTGTTTTGAGACCCCCTCTTAAGTGCGACAGTGAGGTAGCGTAACTACACTCAAAGACTGCGACCGTTATATTGACGGAATACGAGAGTTGTCAGGAATTGATAGCTATGAGTAAGCGCTTTTCGCAAATACTATACATTGTTTCTTTATTTTGAAAAGACGGGGCCATCTACAGCTTATAGACGGCCCCTCGTGTGTGAGGACCACGGTGTCCCCTTCCTTCTAAAGGGCTTGCGCTCTCAGGACAGCGTAGCACCACCACCCTAGCCTGCTTCTACCAGGCTTATGGAGGACGGAGATTGTTCAGCAATCTCCAACTCCTGAGCCACCTACGGTGGCCCATTCCCTGGCCCATTCCCGGGTCTGGCGGACCAGTAGAGTTTTAAACCTCTCCTAAGCTTTAAATTAATTAATTTTTCATCTCCTATCTTTGCAAAACTATGTACCTATACACGCGCTGCGAACGCGATAGAGTACGGACAATTCCTAGTTTTGACTTGATGCCCTTAAGACTTCTGAAACTAGCTCTTTCATTCATCAGTAGGTATTCTATCTATTGTTGAGCTGATCTTGGGCACGAAAACTATTTTATCAAGTTCTCAGGTTGTTTCTTTACTTATAGCATGCGTTCAAGATCAGTGGAAGTGAAAAATCCTTATAAAGATTAATGAAGTTGTCCAAATTAATGAGAATACGATGTATTAAGAAATCTACTAATATAGGAGAAACGAAATAAACGTCAATACCATGCATTTTATTGATTTAGTTCGTCATTGATTTTATTTGATTGCCAGATGTACCATTTAAATGCAGGGAGAACGCGAGAACATGAAAAATTACATATCAAATATCGGTTTCTTGTTTAGAGCTTAGATCTAACTAATCAACCTCTACATATATAGTATATCTTCTTTAGAATTATATATTTTTTTCTCTAATCTATTAATAGAAAAAGCCCTTTTGTTTTCAGCAAAACGTGAGTGGTAGGCGGTGGGGAGGGGTGCGAGTCTGCGTGCGTCGATGAGTCTACGCACGTGGAAGTGTGTGGGTGGCTCTCTTTATTATTTAATTGAACTCCCACTAGAATTTTCTATGCTTTTGTCTCAACTTTTTTTTCTTATTAGGCAAAGCCTGTAAGTACTATGGTTACCAGACTGCTGATAAACATACTCATATATTTCTAAATACGTTCATAATATATTAGAAACAATAGGTATTACTAGGATATTTAAATCAACCGTCATCATCATCATTCAATGGTGCAAGTGTTTATTTAATCGTGGGGGTGGCTTGGAATTTGGCATCATTCCTTTACTTCTATCGTTCTATAACATATAGATTGTTTGAACCACACCACACTGCGCCCATTGACTGTCTGTGACTAGGAGCTCCTTAAATTTCTCTGCATTTATGTTATTGTGAAGAAGTCTGCCTGCCTGTCACCGTTTGTCTGTTTGTTGCGCATTATCTAAATTGCCGATCATTTAATTTCGCATACAAAAAAACATAGGAAGGTATTCAATTAAAAAACATGCCTGCAGCTCCAAATGGATACCTACCTACTTAATTTGATTGACATTATCTACAGTCACGCGAGCGAACCGCAGGCATAAATCTGTCAGTATTGAGTTTCTTAAATATGAATTTTACAAAAAATATGTTCGAAGTTCGATTCTAACTTAGGACAAATACATATTTGTTCTGTGTCTGGTTGTAATTGACCTATAAGATGTATGTATTTAGAAATTTTTAGGTAAGTTTATGAGCAGTCTGGTTATCATAGTACAGGCTCTACTTAGTTCGGATCAGGCATCCGGTTGTGAGCTGTGAGAGGTTATAATTATTAAAATGTGTAGAAGAACCAACATAGGTATATCTTACTTTAGGTTCATGGGTAAGTGCTTCATTTTATTTAAAATGAAGCACCTACCTATGCACTATCTATCTATGAATGCACAATCATTTTATGCGTTTCATGCTCACACGGCTATTTGCACTATACCTATGACTAAAAACCAGTTTTTAGCCATAGGTTTGCGCTTTTGATCATATGATCAAAAGCGCAAAATGTCAAACAATCTCAAATTGTTAATAAACAATGTTAAAGCGCACAATGTTTTTATTACTTTTACTAATAATTATATTATTATCTTTATTAAATTATATATACATATTAATTACATTTTTAAATATATTACAAAAGAAAAACAATACATTTAAAAATATAAGAAATACAGTATACACGGGTATATATATATACGGGTACAGGGAACCTCCTCACTATACGAGCCGTGTCAAGGAGGACTGCCTTCTGCATCAGACCCTTGATCCAGCCATCCAAAGTGAGCCTCTTAAGGCCGAGACTCTTGGCTGTCAATCCGTGAGCAGATACGACTATGGGAACAATAATCACTGAATCGACATTCCACATATCGACAATCTCGTGAGATAAATCCAATTTTTATTTTTCTATTTCAACTTTCACAAGATTCTCGTCATGAGGAACGGCTATATCAACAATCATTGCGCAGCGCTCTAATCAACCTATCACTACAATATCAGGCTTATTGGCAACAATAGTCCTGTCTGTGATAACAGATCGATCCCAATACAACGTGGCCCGACCATTCTCGAGAACTGGGTCGGGCACATACCTGTAGTATGGCACCTCTAGATTTACAAGTTGGTATTTAAGGGAAAGCTGTTGTTGTACGATCCTGGCTACTTGGTTGTGCCTCTGCAAATATTCACCGTTAGCGAGACGAGAACAATCAGAAATAATATGCTTGATTGATTCCCCAGAACGGTGGCATGCCCGACAGATCCATTATCAACCGTACCATCTTTCAGGATATATTTCCGATAGTTATTCGTCATGATAACTTCGTCCACAATCGCAGAAACACAACCTTCAGTTTCTTGATATTTAATATTCCGTGACCCCCAAGCTTTCGCGGGATATACCATCTCATAACCGATGAACGTGGGTGGTGCATTCGGAAAACAGTCAGCAGTGTACGGACTCTCCTGTCAAGGGTATCTAATTCGGTCTGACTCCATCTAAGTATACCAAAGGAATACATCAGAACCAGCATGACCCAACCATTGCAGGCTCGCACCTTGTTGCCCCCTGATAAAAGACTTTTAAGTACTTTTTTCAGGCGGCCAAAAAAGCGTTTCTGCAGCGTTTGTTTCATGTCAGATTCTGGTATTACCAACAACTGTGATATACCCAGATACTTGTAAGTTTCAGTGGCAGACAGAGATCTGAGTTTTGTTGAATCTGAAAGCTCTGTTCCTTCAGATTCTACTATCACGCCCTTCTTGACATACATGTCTACACCAAACTCCATTTTGATAGAATTTCTAAAGTTTTCCGACACCTTTAATAAAGCTGTCAATTGTAATTTAGTTGGGGCTAGTAATTTCAGATCATCCATTTAAGTGAACCATTATTATTATATTATTATTATCTTTATTTCATTCTTTATACATATAAATTATATATTAAATATATTTTTATACAAAAACAAAAAAAATACATTTAAAAATATAAAAAATACGAGTATCCCATCGGTATCCATTGCCGCATACATGTCTCCATAAATAAAGTGCATAGAGTTGTATCAATCTTGTACAACTTCATCACCCTCAAGAGCCACGTATGCGATACAGAGTCATAAGCCTTTTTATAATCTATCCAACATGTCGACAGATCTTTTCGGTTACGGCGAACTTGTTGGTTAATAGTCATGTCAATAATAAGGAGCTCTTTAGTGCCACGTGCCCTACCTCTACATCCATTCTAAAAGTGAGATATAATAGAGTTGTTCGTAATATGAGATGTTATCTTCACTCTAAGAATGGACGTTAGTAATTTATATAACGTCGGAAGACACGTTATTGGCCTATAATTTTTGGGATCCGTGGCACTACCAGATTTATAGACTAGGTGAGTTACTCTTGTTAAAAGATGGAAGCGAACCCGATTCTAGGCATGATTGAAAATGAGATGCCAAACGTACATGCGAGCAACGGAGCCACTTTAACCAAAAGTAATGCAGTCCATCCGGTCCCGCTGACTTCCAATTCGGTAGCGAACGAACTGCATAAACTATATCAATATCTGAAATTGATACTAGCTCCATTGTATTGATTGATTCACATGATCGTTCGACATCTCGCATCCATTCACCCTCTGCGTGAGTGATAGGCATCGACCATATGTTACGCCAAAATGTATTAGCAATTTTAACATCTGGAAAATGTCCATCACTCACTAAATCAGGCTGCGCCCACCGTCTATAAACCCACCTCTCGTCCCTTTGGAATGTGCGATTCTGAGTATATCGGTCCACTCTTTTTTTATACCTTCGTATACGGTTTGCCCATGCATAAACCTTCTCTTTCAGAAAGTCAATGCGCTCTGTGACTCGTGCCATATAATCACAGAACCTGATACCAGTTCCCGAAAAAGCCTGATTCACAAAGCGCATTCCTCTCGG